GATAAGGAAATTTGTCTCTCTCAAACATGTGTGCACACCAGGTCAGATAAGGAAAATTAGGTGTCTAATTCCCAATGAATTTCTGTGAGGTTTGGGCTCTTGATCCCCTTTCGAAAGCCCAGCTCCTAGCTCTCTCAACAACACTGACACAGTGGCTCACAGAAGGTGTGAATGCATCGAAAGAATAAGTCTGGAGTGGTTGCTTCACGACATGATTTCAAATGATGCTGTTGCATCTTCCTTACATTCCGTTGTGCTACCACTGTGGCTTGCCACCTCTTTCCATCGTAGAGAAATGACTTGACATGATCAACCCACCTGGATGGCGTGGGCAGAAAATGAAGGGAGCATATGGGTTACTGGCAAGGCAGAAAGGATTCCCATTTGCCAAGGAGTTGAATTAATTTTGGATGATCTGGTGCCTTTGGCTGCGAGAGCCTGAAAAACGGCGTGTAAAGAAACTGGGCTCAGCATGATTTCTTCTGCAATGCACAGAGAACAGGCGCTCCGGAAATAGGTTATAAGAGCAAGGAAGCCAATAGACAATCAGCTCTAAAATGCAGACGGCTGAGGATAGCGGCGCTTACCGTTTCCTAGCCATAGAATAAACCTGCATTGAGGATTTGTTGCACTAATTCATAGCCAGACCTCTAGGACAAGAAACACACCTGCTAATGTGAGAAACTAATCACCGTGAACTGATGCTACAAGGACAATGGAAAGCCCCAGACCTGGGACATGTTGGGGTCACCTATAAGGGAAAAAAACAATGTGAATCCTACAGGCTGCATTAAAAGAACCTCGAGAGCTGGGCTATTCCTAGGCTTACATGCCGGCATTGATTGTTTAAGTGAGCCAAAGCTCATGGATTGAATTCATTCCTGGTGCAAGCAGGAGCGACAGACCCCTTAAAAGATGCGCTAGCTTACTCCAGGGTGAATTTGGCCCAAAGTGTTTTCCTCCAGCCCCGGGTTAAAAAAAGCCCTAACATAAGGATTGTTAAAAAGTCTCAGAGGGGTCACCGGCTCAGTCTGTAACTTCAAAAACAACAAGCAGTCCTGTGGCACCTTAGAGACTAACAAAAATCTAGGACCATGAGCTTCCATGGGCAAAACCAACTTCCTCAGATGAGTTGGAGTGGAAATAACTGAATCCAAGATCTATATAACAGCAAAAAGCAACTACCCATCAGTTGTAGGGTCCGTGTTAATAAAGCTAATTAAGTGGGTGCGATGTGTCCCATTTGTAGATTTGATGTGGAAATGGGAATGTAAAAGTCAGGGGGAATTGACTTTGTAGTGCGTTAACCACTTAATGTCTCTATTCAAGTCCAAGGTAACAGTGTTAAATTTGCAAAAATAATTCTAGCTCTGCACTCTCCCTCTATAATTGGCCGGTGAAATTCCTTTGTAGAAGAACAGCGAATTTTAAAGCCATGACGGCGTGCCCAGGCAGGTTGAAATGTTCCCCCAGAGGCTTCTGCGTGTTTCCGTTCCTGATGTCTGGTGTGTGTCCATTTCTCCTTTGTCGCAGAGACTGTCCAGCTTGGTCAACATACATGGCAGAGGGGCATTGCTGGCACTTGATGGCCTAGATCACAATGAAGATGTGCCGTTGTATGAGCCCCTGCTGTCATGGCTGATGTGGTTAGGTCCTGTGATGGTGTCGCCTTGGATAGATGTGTGACATACATCATCCATGACAGCACAACACCTTCAGGCAGGCCCAGGTAGTCCTGTCTCCTATCTAAAGCAGTGATCTTCTCATGATGCTTTTGAGGAAGACAAGCAACCCTCACGTCATGGACCAGCTCAAATGCACAGTGCTGTTCATGGGCATAACATGCCTTTTCCAGCAGTCAGCCCCCTGACACCTTGACTCACGAGGTTGGGTTACTCTGGAGTCCTGCAGAACTTCCCTTTCAGTGGTGCAGTTTTGCCGCTCGCTGATGGTGAGAAAGCTCCGTGGCTGGCTGCAAGAAAACCACATTCACTATTTTCTTTTTCAGAATGCAGGGTGGGCATAGGAGTAGGTGTGTGTGTGTGTGTGTGCTTTAGGGGGGCCAACAGTTTCCATGGGCCCCTAGAAAAGAGGTGTGGGGGGAGGCTCCATGCTCCAGAAGGGGTGATCTCGGGTGGAAGAGGCAGGGCTGGGGGCAGCCAGCCCTCAGTGCCGCCCACAGTGCACCGTCCCGCCACCCCCAGCCCTCAAAGCCGTGCGGAGCACACTGTGTGCACTCCAGCGGTGATTTAAAGGGCCGGGGGCTCCAGCTGCCGGGCCCCTTAGAATCACAGGGTCCCCTTTGCTCCCCTTTCCCTCTCCAGCAGGTCTGTAGATTCCAACCCCTTATTAATTGGCTCTGTGACTTCCATGCGGCAGATGCAAAATTAACCTCCCTGTTGTGGCGCTGTGACCATTGGGGTCCGTTGTCCACCACCCCTGCCAGCTCCTCCAGGAGAATTCTTCCCATTGGCTCACCTGGGAGAGCTGAAGACGAGGAACCCAAGTCGGTTTCCTTTCCACTCTGCTTACAGTGACGTGATGTGTTGGGAGGCATGTCGCAGGATCCCTTGCGGCGGCTGTTGCTCTCCTAGCAAGCTGTATAAACTCTGGTACTTCCCTCAGTCCCAAACGCTTTGTGTTGCTCGTAGGGCAGATACACCCCGCAGGCTCAGTGGCTGCCCAAGACGAGGCAAACGTCAGTTCGCTGGGATGGAGCCTTCCTAGAGTCGGTGGAGATGATGCTGTCAGCTCAGACTTACATGGGGCGTGTGCTGGTAAGTGGATGGGTTGGCAGGGTCTTCCTGTAGCAAAGTGAAAGTCTGTCGGTGGTGCTCCAGGGAGCCCTACACCACAGTTCACCTCGGTTCCTCCAAACAAACATTATTGGGTTGGGGTGAGGGATTGGAAGAGTCTCCTTGAGCAGAAGGAACACCCATGAAATGATTGATCTTCACAGCCCTATGGTCACTCTGGTCAAGATGGGGTCAGGTTGTATAGAATCCTAGTACAGAGGAATGGGAAGAGCCCTCAAGAGGTCATCAAGTCCAGTGCCCTGCCCTCGGCACAGGACCAAGCTCCATCTAGAGTAGAGCTACTCAACTTGGGAAGCCCCAGGGGCCACAATGATACTCACAGCACATGCCGAGAGCTACTCCTTAAGTGTGATTGAATATACATGCAAATATGTATGCAAATATATGCGAATAGATTCTTTCACACAATGCTCCACCGCTCCCGGCACCTCCTCACTGGGGGCTAGAAAAGCTGACACCCTGTACCCGTCTGTTCCAGCCAGCCCATTCGCTTGCGTCTTTCAATGCTCAACCCACCTGGGAGATGCCTCATCGTTGTGGAACGTGTTCTCAGTGGAGGCCATGTTGAGCCCCACATAAACCCAAACCGCCCCGTGGGCCGCAAACAAACGGGCCATGGGTCTCATGTTGATTATCCCTGATCTAGATCATTCCTGACAGGTGTCTAACCTAACCTGCTCTTAAATATCTCCAGAGATGGAGACTCCACCACCACCCAAGGCAATTTATTCCAGTGTTTAATCACCCTGACAGTGAGCAAGTTTTTCCTAATGCCCAACCTAAACCTCCCTTGTGGCAGTTTAAGCCCATTGCTTCTTGTCATAGGGAATGTCTACACTAGCTCATTAATTCGAGCTAGGTTGGCAAATGAGGCAACCGGAGTTGCAAATGAAGCCCGGGATTTAAATATCCCGGGCTTCATTTGCATTTTTCTGTCCGGTCGCCATTTTGAAATTTCACTAGCCTGAACTCACTGCCACGCAGCTATACGTGGCAGTGAAACGTTACTTCGAACTAAGTTCTTAGTTTGAATTAACTGTTACTCCTCATTCCAGAAGGACTTAGTTCGAAGTAACTAAGTGAGTTTGGGCTAGTGAAATTTCAAAATGGTGACCGGATGGGAACATGAAAATAAAGCCCGAGATATTTAATTCCTGGGCTTCAGTTTCAACTCCAGTCACCTCATTTACCTACCTAGCTTGAATTAATGAGCTAGTGTAGACATACCCATAGTAACTTCATCCTGTGGATAATCAAAAGGACTTAGTCCTCAGGACCCATTTGGTGCTTGCCTTCTTAACAGCGATACAGGGGCCGACTGTGATAGCTCTTTATTTAATGTCTTTCTATTAGACTGAGTGTACCTGCTCCTTCCATCAAACACCTTCCAAAGGGTAATAATCTCTGTTTGCTACCTGACATAATGCAGATGACAATGCTCATGACAGTAGAAAGGCCTAGACATGAAGTGGTCTAAAAGTTATTCCAAATCAATGCAGAGACCCGGACAATCCCCAGTTCTTCAGTGTACTTGGTTCCCTAGGTGTACCGGGGACTTCATAGCAGAGACTTCCCTAGGGCCACATGGGTGGCTCTTCATCCCAGTGAGCCATAAGACTGTCCTAACCAAGACCGTCTCCCATGATAGGGCAGTTTTGCTCATTGACTTGCGTACCTAGAATTTGTGGGATGTGTCGACCGAACGGTAGCGGCCCTTTGAACAGCTGCAGGGGAAGCGTGCGGCTCTCACAGTCGGCACTGGATGCAGTCAGCCCACTCCTCACTTCACAGGCCTTTGCGTTACGTGTGAGTCACTCTCATAATACCAGGAAGCAAAAAAACGACATGGATGGAAACCAGTGGACTCTGGCAACTCTATGCATGGACAACGGTAAATGGAGTGTCTCGTGGGCTACACACGGACCCACAATGGGCTGCATGCAGCCCTGTCACCGATTTACACCATCTGAATATCCTCAGTGGCTAATCCAGATTAAAGCCCGTTTCCCACCTTTGTCACACAGCACAGATAACTGGTTTTTTTCTTGCCTTTCTGCCCCAAATCACCTACAAATGCCACAGGGGATGCTGCAGAGGTACTGACAGAGTCCATTTCAGACAGGCAAGTAACATACCTCCTGCGTGATGCTTGTGTTTTGTAGATGATA